AATTTTCTTCTGGGGTGATCTTGATCTCAACTCCTTCCCGATTCTTTATCTTTTTACTAGCCTTGTTTTCTTTTCTTGAAGAATTTCCCCATATTTGTTCTTTATGAAAGAAATCTTTATAGAAAGGTTCGCCTATCCCTCTATAGTAATTCCAACAGAGTATAGAATCAATTGTAGCCTTTTTACGTGGATTTGCTAATATTTTTGATAACATCCAATCAAGAATTTTTAGCTAGATGGCTCTTTCTACCATGAATAGCTAGTCATACTTGGAACTATTAAAGGTAAGTTCGATATCGGGGCTAAAGCTCTCCAACATAAAGCAAATACCTTTAATAGATTTCTTTCATTCCTACAAATAATCATGATCCAATTTGGATCCGGTATCATTTCTACATCAACAAGGCAAATTTGTTTTAATGAAGAGAAGTTGTCTTTCTAGTGGACAGTCATACAAATCATAAATATGTTATCCTCTTTATATCTTGCATATGGGAAATGGTCTAACCCAAGTATTGAATATGTTTCGATATTCCAAGCAAGGCTAATGCTCGGTTATGAGTAAAAAGTTGAGAAGGATAAGTTTTATTTAATATTGTGGGATCCTCTATATGGAAAAAATTATTAATAGATATATAAAAAGTATGTTCACAAAGTGGGAGTAGGCACTATAAGGTATTCTATCATTATTGTGTTCGTAATTGGTTAATAAACCCCAGTCAGAAAGTGGTATCCTATATTCTCGAGCAACTTTTCGATAATATGCAGTTGTATCGTCTGAGGCAGTTTCCAGTATACACCCCTGCTTTGCTTCTTCAATTTCTGAATTATATTTTAGAATAATATCAAGAGCGATTTTTCTTTGTTTATAAGTAGTTGTAACAATGCGTAGATATGTCTTTTTTCTGGTTGATAAACCTTAATCAGAAAGGCCTCCACATATTCTATTCGGACTTGACTCATATCTACAGTTTCCCTGTCATCATTTTTTCCTTTAGCGAGAATATCTCTTATCTTAGACTTAAATAACTTTGTTTTCTCATTATCAGAAATGCAAATATCGAAAAAAACTTTTATGCTAGAAATTGTTACTATGGCTTTTTGACCATTGACAAGATAACCATATATATGTAAAACATAATGTGGGGTATTATTTATATATTTATTATATTCTTCAATGTCAATTGGTATAAAAAGTATACCTTCTCTTTTGACTAAAGCCTGTTTAATAGTTGCTGTTGATCTATAGTCATCAATTTTTGTAATTATTATATTGCGGCATGGATGAGTTGGTAAATAATCTTCTCCTTTGTAGTAAAATACCTGGCTTTTCTTTTTACTTTCCGAAATCTGTGATTGAGGAAAAGCTTTGGCCCCCCGGTGGTAGTGCGTCCGTTATTTTTTTCCTCTATTTCTAGCTCGAAATTTTGGGCATCTATGGTAGGTGTAATAATATCAGACATCTTTTTGTAAATTTATATTATCTGTATAAAAAAAGTTCAAAATGAAAATTAATTCCCTATAATAATTAGTGTGAAATATCATTTATAGTATAAGACAAAAAATCGTATCAAAAAATATAACACTTGGAATATATAGCATTTTATCGTTATGAATATATTCTAAGAACTGGAGAAGTTTGTGGGCAGGGTAGTTATCGCCCTGAAGGGTGTGGCTACTATTAGAAGTCCCCTCATCGTATACCTTGCAAAGAATGTGGTAAATTGACCTCTTCCGTCTATGAAACATGTGATAAATATTCAGGTAAACACCGAAATATGAAACATTATTACCAAAAAAA